ACAGTATGTAAACTGTATGTGGCTGGTCTCGGTTCTTTAAAGAAAAAATACACACCAGTATTCCATTTCTCCCTAAACATTTTAAGCATCGAAGTCTTTAACTAACATGTGAAATAACGTGTATAAAAAGTGGTAGTTTTAAGCTTTTCTGCGAATACGCTCGATACTGGAGCAAACAAACATACTTTTTGAATTTGATTAATAGGGAATATAATATGGAATCGCGTATCTAAAGAAATTAATAACGATATAATTATATTCATTTACTACAACACAATAGTATACGCTATATGTTGGTACTGTATGTGTAGGGCTGTTTCACCAATCCTCATGTGACCTTGTGAGTGGCGCTGTGCCCAACTTGTAAGCAACAGGTTGGCTGTTCAAATCCAGCCTGCACCATGACTTTTTTTTTAACAAACATTTCTTTGAAAAAATAAAATAGCAATATTATGGACAATTAATTGACTTTTTATTTTTCTAAATCTCACAACATGTTCGAATCTATACAGTCACCTTCTTTCCTTCTGACAATGCTTCCTGCTTCTATCGTGTGGTGATCCCTTTAGATCTCTCTTCAGATTTAAAAGGTTTTTAATAAGAAATGGAGGCTGTATGCCTTACAATATAAACATTTACTGTCAAACTTTAAATCAACAATTGATTTAAAGATGATCTGTCAAAGTGCAATGAAATACAATATTGTTATTGTTGTTTTTATCCCATAAAACGCTTTGAGAAGCCACCTTTAAAGGCGGTTTATAAAGGTGCTGATTCCTATGGAATGTGTTTTCTTTCTTCTTTTTTTCAGCATGGAATAAACCTATTACTTGATTCTTATGGAAGCCTGGTTCCGCCAGGGATTAAAAAAAACATGGAATCGCGTATCTAAAGAAATAACAGTATAACTATATTCATGCACAACAGTAGCATGTTACATTATTAATTTGGGTGTCTCCTCTTGCCAGAAAGTGCTAAATTGCATTTTGAGTGTGGTTTTTTACTTTTTTTTAAATTACAACCCATAAATAAAGCTGATACTGTTTAGACTTTTAATTATTTTAAACTGTATTACAGCAGCACAATGCAATGTAAATCGCTACCTTTGTCGTCTACGTAATAATGTTCACCTCTCTGTCCAGCAAATTAACAATAGTAATAATAATGAACTTTATTGTATATAGCGCCTTTAAAGGTGGCTTCTCAAAGCGTTTTACAGGATAAAAACTACAGAGCTGTTAAACCGTTTTTTATCTATTTTTCGGCGCAGCCAGCCGGCTGTCGAGTGGTATTAAATGCAACTTTTATGTATAGATGACTTTGTTAAAATGCATTTAAAAATCTAAACGATTACATTTGGCATGCCTGTAACTTTTTCACGAAACCTCCTAGAGTAACTAAATTCTTGCATTGTACAGCTTTTCAGCTAAATATATTTATCGCTTACGCCTGACATTTGAGGTGCCCGATAAAAACTGGTTGAACAGCTCTGTTGTTTTTATCCTTTAAAGCGATTTGGGAAGCCACCTTTGAAGGCACTATATAAAGGCATGTATGGCTGGTCTTGGTACTGTATTTTAAAGAAAAAATACACACCAGTATTCCATTTTTCCCTAAACAAAATTCTCTGTTATATTTGAGGAAAAAAAATAATTTATTCAGTTGGAATTAGCAAGCTAATTCCAACAAAGCAAGCTCTCATAATGAGAATAAACAGCCATCTGAGGATAGTAAATTAA